TGTTTTTAATAAGCTTTATATCATTAATACGAAAGTTAAAGTGCTTCTGTCTTTGTAGATTCATCTTATCTTATTGGGGTAAAAATAAATTGTTTTATTGTATTCATTTGTTCTTTTACAAATTTCCTATATGTATAACTACCTTTCACATTATTTTTATTAGTAAATATTTAATGTTTAGTTGTTAATCTTTGTTAATTAAAAAAGTTATTGTCTTTTTTGGAACTTGTTAAATAATTCAAGCTGAAAAATTTTATAGTAAAAGTCATAAAATGTTAAAAATCTCTATTACCAAAGGTAATAAAAAATATAAGCTTATTTATTTTTAAAATTAGTTGATTTCTTCTTCCGATGTAAAATCATAATTTTTTTCACACCCAGGTATAAGCAACATCAAATTGTTTATATACTCACTATATTTACATTTCGATCCTTTATGACTAAAAGCTAATATTTTATATTCTTTAAAAACTAATAATGGATAATTATTTAAAAGTTTGTGGAATTTCTCTTTTATAAAAGGTATATCCAACCCGGTCGTTGTAATAGTATATGATTTTATTATAAAATCATGTAAAGCTAAAAAGATAGATGCAGATTCCGAAAATGAAGTTGTTTCTACCATATAATCTAATAATATTAGCATTCTTGAAGTTTTAATTTGTATTAGTCTTTTTAACTGACTTAACTCTGATAGAAATGAACTTGATATTGATTTAAATGAGTGATGTTTCATAAAAAAGATAAAATCAAACACAGGTAAATTAGCTTCAAGACAAGGAAGTGACGAACCAACCTGAGTAAGTATGTGCATTTTACCTATATAATTAATGATATCATGCTGTGTAAATATAATATTATTTTTATTTAATTCTAAAGACTTTCCAATTCTATCAACAAAGTAGTATGTGTTATTTAATTTACAACTGTTAAATTCATCTTTGTTCTCTTTAACACCATTCTTTGTTTCATGTGGATAAAACATGGAAGGAAATACATATTCATTATTTGTTTTATATCTACACAATGAATATAAAGCATCAATTTCAGATATAAAGTCAAATAAATGACTTAAATCCACACTGTCAATAATGTCACATAACCTTTCAATAAATAATAATTCCTTTTCTTTTATTCTGTTATATATATCTCCGTAAATATAATCCATATGCATTGTTTCATCATTTTTATAGTAAAATTTTTTGTTCAGTTTAAAAAGAAACTTATTAAACTTTGATGTTTTGTAAATAAAAGTTGACATTAACATATCTGATGCAGGAATACTCTTGTTGTGAACAAAACTTAAAGTATGATGCATTCCCATAGATACCGTATCTAATTCACTGCTTTCAATTATAAATCCTATTTGGGGCATGTATATTAATCTCAATTCTATATTAAGTTTTTCACAAAGTAATTCAGCTGTTTTGTTTATAAAATTTGGAAAATCCTTATAAAATTCAACCATTCTATCATAATCATGATTAAATGCTAGTTGTATTTTTCCATTTTTAACAATTCTCATCTCTTCAAACAAAGCAGTGTATTTGAGTTTATTAATAAGTGTAAATTCGGATAAACTTCTAGATAGAATTAACCCTTTTTCAATAAAAATTCTTATTTCTTCTATTGCCTGGAGATTAGTAACATCAAGTTTGGTATTGATTTTTGGTATTTTAAGTCCTCCTAGTATTGTTTTTATCAAATCCAAAGACAATTTTATACGATCCTGTGCCATTTGTCTTTCTAAAATCAATGTTATATTAGTTAGAGGCATGGAAATCCAATTTTTAAGCTTCAATTCTCCTATTTTTGTTAAACAAAAATTTAACTGTTTAAAAAGAGAATTTTTACCTTCAAACAATTCTAAACCTTCAACCATATCACTTCTTAATTGCATCACATTTTTATTTTCTTTTAAAAATATAGGAATTCCATTAATTGTTCCTAGTATAGTTTTGTTTTAAATTGAATTTAAAAATATAATGTTTATAATACGATATCAGTGCATTAAAAGCTTTATTACCTAAAACGTTAGTACCTGAGAATATTTTTAGGTTAAAACTTTTTCTTGTGATATGTTCAATTTTAACTCGTGTATTTAATAATATTTTTAATTTATAAGGCTCTATGTCATTTGGGACAAGTAGCACATCAACCTCATAAAATGTTAAGAATCTTTTTAATATTGAGCATGAGTATTCATCTATTGCATATGGTATGATAGTGTAGACATTATTTTTAACACACATGCCTAACACATTTTGTTCATATATAATTACAGCAGTTACAAGCATAAAAAAAATAAAATTTTTAGTTTATAAAAGAAATTATTTGTTCGATGAAAGAAACAAAGAACAAAAGTTTGTTTAGTAAAATTTATTCACTATTTTCACGCTTCCTGTTATGCCTCCTATAATTATAACTTTCAATACAGCTTTGGAATAAATTGTTGTTGACTGAGTTCATATTAATTAAAAATTCCAATGCTCCAATTTTTACCTCCTTCTTCCAAGTTTTTTCGACTATATTAAAGATAATGTCAAATATTTTTGGAAGAATATCATCAATGTTTTTAACAACATACTCAAATCCTGTTGAGCTTTTTAGAATTAAAAAAACAACTTCCATAATATAAACATTTTTTGTTTTTATACCACTAATAATCAAATTTGTAAAATCAACTGTCATGTTTAAAGGAATGTAACATAATAGAACTGCTCTTGCAACATTAATGATAATCAACTTGCTTTCGAACATATATTTTGAACTATTTAAACAAACTGCACATTTTTTAATTGTTTGTATTTTCAATAATCCATTATTATCACAGTAGTATAAAATAGTATTTTTTGCAACGGTTAGATCTTCTAATTTAAAATTGAAAATTATTCTAAGAATAATGTTTCTATAAAAACTAACTTTATAATCACTAATTTTGAAAAGCTTAAATTGTACAACTACTCTCATTATATTCACATATAACACGTTACTATAGCTTGTGTTAAATTGCAATATATGATTCAGTAATAATTCTTCAATAATTTTTTTGCAGGGTATATTTTCAATCAAATAAAAAATTTGAGTAGTTAATTTTTCATAACGAAAAGCTAAACCTTGTAAAATATGAAATAAAAATTCCTTATCAAGAAAATTTACATGTTCTGCACTTATAGGAATTAAAAATTTAAAGAGTGTATTAAGATCAATTTCTAAACAAGTATTATTTTCACGAAATTTCAATATGACTCCAATATAAGCAGGTTTGATTAGGTTTGTTATTATATTAGCATCGATAGTAAAACTTGGTTTAATAAGATCGTTTAAGTTCTCAATTTTAGGCAATTGTTGAGTTTTATTGTTTATATGTATTCTTTTTCCACGCATAGAAATGAATCATATAAAATATTTTTTTTATGAAAATTTTTAACCCCAAATGTTGTTCAAGCAAAATATGATTGTAGTTATAAATAAAGGCAGACATGCATCTAGAAAGGCAGTTATTTTAAAAGTAACCGAAGATCGTTTATTATTGGGAGGTATATCAAAAATCCCAACAAAGGTCGAAGATCACATGTCAGCAGCTGAAAAGAGAAAAGCTGTTAAACTTCTTACTTTTATTAAAAATATGAATATCAGTCATGTAACCCCAACTAGATATGTAAGTGAATTAGATTTTAGTAAAATTCCAGTAGATGAAGTAGTAAACAATGTAGTATCTAGAACCAATGCTAAAGAAATAATGACAAAAGTATTTGAAGATTCTTTTAATAATGAAAAAGAAAAGCCAGTTAACAAATTCTTATTCAGCACTTTAGTAATTTCTAAATAAATTTTATTAGAATTTCCATGTTTTTTTACAGACAGTACACGTGACAAAAGTAGTCATCGGTTCATCACATGATCTGGTTTGTTGTTGTCTATAAGTTGTTTTTCTCTGATTACAATTTGAACATAAAAACATATCAGTTTCAGCTTCCATTGTTGGCTTGATAGCATCATTGATTGATTTTTCTATAAGTTTTTGATCTTTTAGTTTAATTTCTTCAGATTTGGTTTCATCATCAGTCATTCTAACAAATTCATCCGGTTTTACTTCCCCTAAATATATAGCAATACATAATTTTTTATTTGTCTTTAAACAGTGAACCTTTGATCTCACAATTTTTGGAAAGTCTAAATTATTTTTATCATCTATTTCTTTCGCTATTTTGTTTGATAAGAAGAAAAGTTTTTCACAAACAACATCATCGATATTTGAATTTAAAGTTTTATAGAAAAGATCCATTGCCTTGGTTATTTTAGGATTGGAATGCTCGTATTTTTTTCTTGCATCCTCAAAAGACATTTTCTTATCAAATTCTTGAACATTATCATCTTCAAATGTTGGTGTCTTTTGATTAATATATATTTCCCTATTTTTGATCAAATTAGAATCAATACTTTCTTCTATAAAATCTTTCATACTTCCCTCAATTCCAGTCTTTAAGAATCCTCTTAAATCGTCGTCATTATTTTTTTCTATTGACTCTCTTAGTTTCTTTGGATTCATTTGAATAAGAAGGGATAAATAAAAATTTATTTTTATAGAAGAAATTACTTTCAAAAATCATTTATTTTTTTGATCTAATTCTACTTGTGTTCTCATTCCTGAACTCTTTATTTTTCTAATTAATAATCCAAACATTATTGTTATTAGTGTTAAAGTCGTTATACTTTTATAGTAAGAAATTACTAAATAAATGAATGGATATCTTATATTTTTAAGTCGGTGTGATTGTTTAACTGTTTCACTTAACCTTCTAAATAAATTAATAAGATAAATTTGAAAAACACCATCAATATTTTCTTTATTGAAAACTTCAATTGCTGTTCTCAATCCTCTTAACTGAATAGTACCCCATAAAATACATTTTTGGCAGTCAAGACATGCTACACATTCAATACACTTTTCAATAAGTTCATAAGAATCATATGTTAAAATATCAAAGCGTTTATCAATTTCAATAAGATCAACAATTTTTTTAACTTCAGGATGTAAAACAGAATTTGTATGTTTAAGTGAACCAATAGCATTTCTTATAATCATATATAAGTTGATAAAATCATTTTGATATTCCTCAGTATAACTTTTTCTAAATACGAAAGGATTGGGAAAATAATTTCCTATAAAATTTGTATAAAAAGCTGATATGTGTGTTGTTACTGTGAATTTCATTCCATTAAGTATTTTATGAAATGCCTTATTGGGTGTTAAATTGTACATTGCTCTCCATACATCAGATCCATTTGTAATTGTAGGTGAGTATGATTCTTTTACTTTTAGTAAATCGATAATACCGTCTTTATTCTTATATTTTATAATTGGGACACTACAAGAATCAGCTGAACATTTTTTTATACTCAAAGGACATTTTTCATAAAAATTGATTTTTACCTTAGAAATAAAATCAGATTTAGCCACTTGATCTAATTCATTGTAAGTTCTTTCATTAATTTCATACAACTCTTCTATTGTTAAGTATGCTTTTATAAATTGAATTAAATATAAATTCATGGGTTATTTATTTTAAATAAATTTTAATTTTAAAAATGAATGATGAAACTTTAGAGAAAATAGAGTTATCAAAGAAAGAAATAAGAAGTGATGCTGAGAAGGCACTTGAAGGCCATGAATATTATGAATTAAATGAGATAGAACCTTTTATTGATATCACAGTTAGATCACTTAGTGAAAATGGTGTTAAAAGTAGTTTATTTAAAGATTTATAAACCTTCTTTAGAGTATTTTATTATCTTTTCTAATAAATCATATTCACTCACTTCGGGTTTCCAATAATAAAATTTTCTATCAATCAATTCGTCATTCAAATAGAATGGTCCATTTATCTTTGTTTTTACCAATTTTTCACTTCTTATAAACATATGACTTTCATCAAAATTAAACTTGTTAGATACATCAGTACCCTCATCAAGATAAAATGGTAGAATGTTACACTCCTTCATAAAAATTAGAGGGATAAAAAACAATTATAACTGAGAATTTATTTATTCAGGCAACTGAATACCATTATTACATCTATTTCTAAGTTTAACTGCCAAGATAATGTCTTTAGGCATGATTGTGACTCTACCAGCATGCTTAGTACATAACAAAGCATCTTCAAGTATAGATGTAAGAACAGTCTCAATAGCATCATGAATAGTCAACAAGGCAGTAGACTTCCATCTACATACAAATGATGATCCAAGTTCTTGGCATAATCCTCTACACAATCTCTGGAATGGCTGCTTTCTAATTAATGTGTTACCACTGCTTTGGTAAAGTCTGATCTGTCTGATGGCGACTGAGTTTGGCTTCCTTCTAAATCTCTTGTGTGCACCACTAGCAGACACTGATGTCTTACGTGCTGCCTTAGTAGCTAGTTGTTTTCTTGGTGCTTTACCTCCAGTCATGTTTGCTGTCTTTCTTGCTGATTCTTTTGTTCTTGCCATTTTATGGGGTGAATAAATTATTTATTTTTATATTTAAAAAGGGAGGGAAATGCAAATTGTTTCAAATTTTGGGTGGAAATTTTGCACGGTTAAAAAAATTTGATAATTTTTATTTTAAATTGAATTTATATTTTTAATAAACATGATTTTAACTTCATTTATAACAAATTCTATTCTTATTATTGCTTTAATAAGCTCCACCTTGTTTGTCTTTTTTCTATTTTGATCAATTTATTAGATAATCAGAAAATTAGAAAAACTTAAAATTACAACCTTAAAATGATTATAAAAGCATACAAAACAGTTTATATTATCATAAGACTGTCCTTCCAATATTTATATCTTTATTTTAAATAAAAATGAGCAACTTGGTAAAATTTATTAAAAAGCTATATTAAGATTTAAATAAAGAGAAGATATGCAATTAAAACTGTGAAATGGCAGCTAACAATGTTTTAATACCACTTTAAAAGATATTTAAAAAGAGTATAAGATTTTTATAAAAAAATAAAAACAAAATTTATTTAAATTTTATAAAACACAATTCTCTTGATGATCATGTAAAACTTTTGAGAGCAATTCCTTCTTATCTGTGATTTCATATAAAATTTGTATTCTTATTGATTTTTTTAAATATTCACCAATTTTATCTTTCTCAACACGTTTCTTAAAATCTTTTCCATTCAATAAAGGCTTTATTTTAAGTATTTCTAATAAATTTTCATGTTTAATTAATTCAATTATGTTTGAAATTCTAACATCCTTAGTTTTAATGTATGAAAAAAGCATACTTTCTTTTATATGTTCCTTGCATGTTAAAATTATATCAATTATATCACTGTAATCTAATTTTTGTTTATTCTTTAATTTTTCATATAAAAATAAAATATTCTCACGTATTATTTTTATACTTTTGAATAAACTTTTATCACATTTCAGTGCATTCTTTAACACACTATCAGGATTTAAATTTTCATCAACAATTTTAGTTACAATTAAAGGATAAACCAGAAGGGAAAAACCTAATAATCGTTTATCTGTTTTTAAATCAATTTCTGTTATCATGTCAAAACATTGAACCTTTACAAAATCAAAATCAAATTTTGAGCAGTCTATTTTCAAAATAGGCTCATAAAATTCCAATTCAATTATCTTTTCAATCCCTAATAGACCATTTTCATAAGATAGCATTTTATTAAGTTCTTGGTAAACTCTTTCACAAGAAATTTTTTTAGCAAAAGCATCTCTAATTGAAGAAATCTTTATTGCCTCAACTATTCGATCTGTTATTGTGTATTTAAATTTAGCATAGAATCTGATAATTCTAAGGATTCTTAATGGATCATCATTAAATGTTATAAGTGGGTCAACTGGAGTATCAAGTATTCCTTTTTTAAGATCAGTTTTTCCTCTTCCTGTAAAGTCTTCTATCTCATTTGTAATTATGTTATAAAAAAGTGAATTAATAGTTAAATCTCTCCTCTCTGCATCTTCTGTAGGTGTTCCATTTGAAATAATAGGAATTCTGGAGTTGTTGTATTGCTCTGATCGCAAATTAGCAAAGTCTACACAGATATCGTATATTCTAACAATGGCTGTTTCTAAATGTTTTGATTTTTCAGGATTTGCTTGAATGATATTTACTTTCGGTAAGTGTTTTTTTTTATCTTTAAATTCATTAACTAGCTTTGTAGCAAATTCATATCCAGAAATCTTGTCTAAAGTAATATCAATATCAGATGAGTTTATTTTAAGTATTTTATCTCTAACCCAACCACCAGCTACTCTTGGAGTCACAGTTTCTCCATCAATAACTATTGTTTTTGCCACTTTGGATATTAAATCAAAAAGTTCTCGTTCTTGTTTTGTCAATACAATAATCATGGCTAAATTATTTATTAAAAAATTTAATTGTACTTTTATTTAAATGTTTAAAAATATCAGTTGTGATCATCGTATATCCTTTTTGTACAAATGTTAGATGTGAAACATATCTCATCAATTTACATCCAATTACTGAGACTTTAACAAACTCATCAGTTGACTTAGTACAATTCGATACAAATGTTGCCAACACACCACTCAGCATATCACCTTGACCTCCTATTCTTTTATTACAAGTATAATCATAAACTAATTTTATCTCTTGATTGATTGGATATTTTAGAATGTCTATTACACCCTTATAAATACAAATATGTTTTTCATTAACATTGAGATTGGTTGCTTCATGTGAATTTGGAGTGAGAATAAGAAACTTTAAGTGGTTAAACATTCCTTTTTTATAATAATGAATTATGTCTGCATCAAATATAAATGGAATTTCTTTATCATTTAAAAATTCTATAATTTTAGAAATTAAATTTAAAGTACTGTCTGAAATTCTTCCCAAGCCTGGTCCAATAACACAGGCTGTAATTTTATTTAAAATTCTTACATTAAATTCTATTTTACCTACTGCTGCTTCAGGCAGTAGGGATTTTAAAGCTATTCTACATTCTAAATCATCACAGTAAATAAAAACAATCTCACTACCTGC